TCTCTTTATAGATAAGAACTTTGAGCCTCAGAAAGAAGTGACTTTCCCAAGGTCACAGAGCCGACTAGTGGCCACACCTGGTCCCAAATTAGTCTGTGACTCCTGGGTCCCAGACCTTCCCTCTCAACCCCTGCAAATGGGAGTTAGGGGTGACAGCTCCTCTGCCTCCTCCCAGATTCCCCTCTCAGACCTGCTCCCACTGCAGCAGCCAGTGGAGATAGGAAGTTTTCTGGGCAAAGATGGAGTGGGTCCTCTGCTGCAGGGATGGTGGACAGGCCAGGTCCACTGGACCAGCTCCGAGAGGCCGAGGTGGGGAAGTTCAGGTTGCTGTGCCGTTCAGTGCAGCCTGGCAGGAGGCAGGCAGGGGCAACAGATGCCCTCCGACAGCTGGGAGGAAGCGGCAGGGAAACTGCAGTGGTGGCAAGAAGCAGGCTCCCTGCCACATCCTGTTGTCTTGTCTGATCTAGCGGCTACCTCTGGTGCTGGTGCCCAGTGCTGTGGAGTGAGATGGTGCCGGGGAAGTGGAGATGTTCGGAGCTTTTTATTACCCAAGTTAGAGTAAGAGAGGCTTGGAGGCGGGGGAGGGAGTAAAGGCAAGATGCCTTTAGGATGTAATTTGCAATAACCAAATTACGAATTTGGCTGAGCCTTTCCTGCACCCAGACAAGGTATAAGTGAATCAGTGTGGTACCTGGGAATTGCCGGCTTCCTGAGAGCATCAATATCCTTGGATGTCTGTCTTTTGAACGGCATAGTGTTAGTCAAACATGAATCCAAATCTCGGCCTCAGCACAAATGAGCTGGATAATGGGACAAACTCCTGAATTTCTCTGAGGCCATGGTTCTGGAGGAGTTGTTGGGGTCACAGAGCCTGCTGGAAGGCTGCTCCAATGCCATTCTCGTGCCCTTGGCTATGGGGTGTTCCCACCTCCGTTTCCCAGGTCCTTACTTACCTAGGGTATTCTTGGGCTGGTGGAGTCCCTGTCTCTCCGGGCTCTGCTGAAAATCTCAGAATACAAGCCTGGAGCTCCTCCCATGGGATCGTGTTCATAGTTCTTGTCAGAACAAACAGCTAGCACTTGGTATAAGGTGTTGGCAAGCCTCCCTTCCCCTCACGCTGGCAGCATTCTGATCTTGGACATATCTATCTGCTGGCTCATGAAGGCTCAGTGTGTGGGGGTCTTCCACTGGGATCTCTCCTCCAGCTGCAGCTGCTTCCCTAGAGTCCTCACCAGACCTCTCCCCTGGCGTCATTTTGTTTCTTGCCCTGCTGGGATCTGCAAACTGTCCCCCCAGTTGCTGGCTGTGCCTGATATTTTACAGCCTGAAAACCAATGACTGGCTGGTCTTCAGACTCCCCCTTATTTTCCCAGGAGAAGGGGTACTTATTTCACTTTTCAGTCCCCATCTTTCCCCTCTTCCAGTTGGATGGCTCTTGCTCTAGCACTTTTCTGCCAACCAGAGTGTGACTTCTAGCCTTTCCTAAGGCCTTTTCTTTCCATTAGTCTGCATCCATCCATCCATCCATTCATTCATTCATTCATTCAATTAATCATCAAACACATATCATGCCCCTACTGTGTGTCGAGTCCTAGTGAATGAAAATGGGCACCAACCCTGCCCTTGTGGAGCTAAAATCCTATGGGGCAGAGGTGAGGGGAAGAACAGATAATCTCACAATATATAGAATCACAAACAGAGAAATGCCTTGAGGAAAAGACATACAGAACTATGAAATTGTATCTGAGGTGAACATGAAGGAGTATGAGGATTCAAAATGGTTTCCCTGAGGAAGGGACGTTTGAACCCAGATCAGGAGTGAGCTAGGGGGCACCTGGGGAGGGAGGGATGGAGGTGGAAGGGAGGAACGATCAGGTGGGGGAATGGCTTGTGCAAAAACCATGTCCATGTGCCAGCTGTTCTCAACCTGGGTGCAGGCTGGAATCATCTTGAGATTTTTTTAAAAGTTCGGTTGCCTGGGTTCTATTCTCAGCAGTCTTGATGGAATCGGTCTGGGGTGTGGCCTGGGTGGGTATCAGGGCCTTCAGAAGTCAAGGTGAGAACCACTACCCTAGATAGTGTCCCACGTTGCAGGGAATACATTTCCTGATCATGTCTTTTCTGGACACTCTTCTCTTAGTACCAGGGGAGAGGAAGTGGGCTGAGCATTTTTGAATGTCCGTTTTATTCCAGAACAAATCAAAGAAACGCACTCTCAGAAATTTCTTTGTAAAGATCCTATGTATAAGAGGAACAATATAAAATGAATAAGAAACAATCAAAGTTATCAGTCAGCAATTCATTCATCTGCAAGAAGTCCCCTGTTGATAATGGTCTACAGTAAGGAAGTCCAGAGGTGGACAGTGACCTGCTTTGGTTCAGCCTCTAAGTGTCACTCTCAGGGCTCTAGGCCACATGAACCCCTGGGTTTCTCCCTTATATTACCTTCACTTCTAATTCGTTACTTCTTGTTTGCAGTATGGCTGCTGCAGCACCAGACATCTTGTCTGTCTTCAAGGCAGGAAGAAGGGGCAAGCTGTGTCTCCCCCCAGCTATGTTTCTCCCTTATCAGGATAGGCTTTCCCAGACATCCGCCCTTTCCCCACCACAGACCTTGCATTGGCCAACACTGTGTGGCACAGGGGCACCTCCAGATGCAGTGGAGTCTGGGATGTAGATGTCTGTCTGTCTGTCTAGTCTCTAAAGTACAGAGAGAGGAAAGGGAAAGAGAGTTGGGAAAGGTGCTGCCACACCCAGTGTGGTTAAGGGACCCACCGAGACTGTCACTTCCTCCACATCTTGGATCAAAAGCATCTCCTTGCACATCTCCCCCGGGCCTGCCCGGAAATACTGTGGACTCCCACCTTTCTGTCGTGAAGGTTGCTCCCATCTCCCTGGGCTGTTTGGTTTGCTCTTTCTTGGCTCTAGTAACAAAGCAGTCTGTTGCTTCCTAGGACAACTTGTAATGGGACCCAAAGGGGAGCGAGGATTTCCCGGGCCTCCAGGACGATGTCTCTGTGGAACCCCCATGACTGTGAATAACCCTGCTTATGGGGAATCCGCACATGGGCCCAGCTCCCTGCGAGTTCCTGCGGTAAGGTTCTTCCTGGCGGAATCTGGGGCGCTATCCATCAAGACCTCTCAACTGATCCCCTCGGGGCTTTGGAATGGAAGTTTTATTTTGTATGTATGTATGTATGTATGTGTATATGTGTATATATATATATATATATATTTAGTAAAATGTATTTCTACCATTTATTGGGTACATGCTCATAAGAAATTGGAAAATAAGGGGAAAAAAATCAAAAGAAAAACCCAAATTGTCCAATTGATTGTGGGTCCATTTTGGAGTGTTATCTTTGTCTTTTTAAACAAACAAACAAAAGAACATTTCAAATAAATACAAAACCAAAACAAATAGTGTAATGAACCTCCAAATTCAATAATTATCAACTCATGGCCAATCGTTTCCTCTCTGTGCTTACTCACTACTGCCCACTCCTCCTTTGGATTATTTTGAAGTAAAGCCTGGTTATCAATTCATCATAAACATCCTTTGAATCGATGCCTAATCATCCATCCATCCTGAGGTTGTACTGCGATTTGTTTAACTAGTGTCCTCTGGTCGGATATTTACAGGTTGCTCCCAAGCTTTTCACTGATGTACCTAACACTGTAAAGACCATCTCTGAGTATAAGAATTCTGTTAAGAATCATTTCTAGATGTTGAATTACTTGCTTAGATGACATCACCTTTTTACTGAAGTCTTGGGAACATTGTAAATGTTTAAAATTTTTAAATTGCGGTGGATATTTTTTCCTCAAATTCAGACATTAGGAACTGGATGGAAAAGATGTGGGCATCAAGACATTCCTCCCCACTTTGGGAGGAACGTGCAAACCCCGCTTCCCACCTTTAACCAGCCCAAGGATAGCGATTCTGTGTCCTCCTCTAGCTTTCCCCCACTCCGCTGCGGGAGTGTTTCCTGGAAGCCTCACCAGTGTGTTTGTTCTCTGGCAGATTTTTGTGGTCAACAACCAGGAGGAGCTTGACAGGCTGAACACCCAAAACGCCATTGCCTTCCGCAGAGACCAGAGATCTCTGTATTTCAAGGACAGCTTTGGCTGGCTCCCCATCCAGGTACTTGGAGGCGGGCACTCAGGACATACCCCACCCAGGAAAGGGAACACGTCATTAGAGGAAGGCAAGGCCAACAGTGAGACCTGGGGCAGAGCTTTAGGCAGTCCGTTTCGGTAGAAGGACCAAGCACCCCCCTTCGAGCTGTTTCTGAGCAGCTCTCCATGTGCTGCTCCCCAAATAGAAGGTCTTCTCTGAGCCAAGGACCCAGACAGTCTCACATCCCTGCGCTGCCAGGCCACCGACTCGATCTGGCCCAGCCTTCCTGCCAACTACAGAGTGTTGGGCCACGGGAAAGGAATGCCTTTTCCACTCAGGAGGAAGCCGGGAGCTGTCCCCTGGCAGTGCCCCACTGGACCCAGAGCCTCTGTCCCAGTGTCAATGAGCTGCCCTGCCCTTAACTATGGTGTGTTTCTTTGGCCAGCTGACTCCTTTCTATCCTGTGGACTACGCCATAGAGCACCGCGGCTCCTGTGGGGATGGGGTCCTGCAGCCCGGGGAGGAGTGTGACGACGGGAACAATGATGTGGGTGACGACTGCATCAGTGAGTGGGCCCAGCCTAGGTGGCCTGAAGTATGAACAGCCATTGGGGTGGGGGTCAGGGCAAGCCCTAGACACCAGCTTTGGTGGTTTGGGGCAATTCTAGAGCCAGAAGGGGTGTACACGGGCTGTTGTGGGGCCGACCCTCTGCATTCAGGCCGAAAGTTAACTTCCACCATCCAGGCGTGTCAGGCGGGGTGGTGTCAAGGATCTTGCCCCCAGAGAAGCCACCAGGCCATTCCTTTTTCTGACTCCTACTGCTTGGCAAAGCCCATATTCCAATCCACATTCTTTGTCAAACGGTAAGGGTGATGCAGGAATGAAAGGCCAAGAATTTGAATCAGGACTCACTTTTACCAGTCAGAGCCCTAGTAACGAAGCCCATTTTAGGGGCAGTGGGCTGGCCTTCAGGCCTACGGGATGCTACCAAGATGGGCAGGCAGCTGACCACGAGAGAGGGTTTGCTTTGCTTTTTATTTTTAAAAAATCAAGTGACAAAAGTAGAAGGTGAGGTGGAAAGCATGGGCTTTAGAGTTCACATGCAGGCACCGAGAGCCACCACCTCACCCTCAGCTCAGAGAGGAGGCCACTCAGTGAGGGGTGATGGGCGTTACAGCTCCAAGCCTCACTTTTCCCAACTGAAAAATAGGTGTGACTGAGCACTCAAGTCTTTAGAGATTCTGTGAGCTAAGGTGCGCGTGGATTGCCTGGGTATAGTGAAGGTTCACCCACCATCCCTTCACTGAATTGCTTCTGAGCCCCTTCCGTGGGGAGCCAGGCTCCACTCAGGGCTGGGATGTGTAGATACGCAAAGTCGCGTTGCTCGCCTGCAAGAAGCTCAAGGGAAGGGTGACAGTGAGGTGAGGAAGGCATGTACAGGAGTGGGTGCCGGATGCGAAGCCGCTGATTCTCCCTCAGTGCAGCTGCATTTCCTGTGACAGCTCCTAGGATGAGGATCCCCCTGCTAGCTTTGCCTGGAGTCCCTTCTGTCCCTGCGGCAGGAAGGAACTAACGGGGTCTGAAAGCCCTGTGAAAAGGAGGGTGGGGTTCATACTTCTAGGCCCTCCGCTAGGATGAGAACAGAGACCTCACTGAAGATCACCTGGCTGCCCAGGGACACAGGGTCACCCACCCTGGAAGCTCTCTGCAGATTGACAGGAGCCACCATGGCCCTCGCTCATGCCCGATGCTCACAGTTTCCTGACCCTCCCCACTCACGGAACCCACAGTGGTCCTGTGGGCGGGAGGTGGTGTCCATGCCTCAGGTCTGAGACGAGGACATGGAGGCTCTGAGAGGCAAGCGGCTGCTCTGAGGCTCTCGGCTGGAGCCTGGGTCTCCTTATTCTCCAGTGTGGGATTCGGGGGTCTGGGGCCAGTCCCCGGATGTGTGTGAAGCCTTATGGAGGTCCACTGAGAGAGTGCACGCTCTGGGTGGATCCTTCAGGTCACAGTGTTACCAGATAGAGTCTTAGCGGCAGAAGCCCTTTGAAATGAGTGGGGCTCCACCCAGGCTGACACAAGCCTGTCCTGCTCCTGTCCCTTCTCAGGGCTGTCCTTCCTTGTGTCCCCTCAGGCTGTCACCGGGCATACTGTGGAGATGGCCACCGGCACAAGGGCGTGGAGGACTGTGATGGCTCTGACTTTGGCCACCTGACGTGCGAGACCTATCTCCCTGGGTAGGGATGGCCTCACCTGCTGTTGTGACACCCCCTCTCCCTCCCTGCCACCCTCCCTCCTTCTTTCTCTTCTTTCCTTCACAAATGATTTTGGTACTTCCCAGAGACTGAGATATGGTAAATAATACAACACACGGTCCCTGCTCACCCAGGGGAGATAGGCAATAAACACATAACCACTATGCGCCCTCCCAGAGCAGCCTGCACCCCAAAGACAAGCTGGGACACACACAGCCACCAGCTCCATCCTGGGCCCTGGGGCATCAGCAGTTTCTGAGTTCAGCTGTTGCCCCTGCAGCCAAGGATGGGCGGCTCCCATCCCCAGTGGCTGCCGTGACCACCTTAGCCTCCTGGGCTTAGGCCTGGGAGGGAGGCCCGGTGGAGGGTGGAGGTATCAGGGCATTTCAAAGACTCGAAGCATCTGTATAACCTGAATTCTCTGGAACGACCCCCAACTCCTGGGCAGGCCTGTGGGAACAAGTGAGGCCACACCAGCACTAATATCTAATTTTGCTGGCTTGTGGCTCCTTCCAGAAAACTCCAGGAACTTAGGATTGCCTTCAAGGACTCCTCTAGTTATTTCTGAGACTCTTCAGTGGGGGTTCACATTGCTCAGGATACGTATTCTAATGTTCTAGCCTCTATGTTGACATCTCCCAAGCCAATTGAAGGCCACTGGCCCTGTGAGGCACTGATTCCATGCCCAAGAATATGGCCTCCTAGGTTTCTTTCAAGGTGTAAAATGACGCCACATTCCCCCTAATCCTCACAGAACCAGAGTTGTGTAGTGTTCTGGGGAAAATGGGGAGGCCGTCCCTCCCCCCTAGTCCATGTCTGGCTTCTATCCTGGCTCCAGAGTGGATCACTGGCCCCTCACCCGTCCTGAGTCCCTCAGGAGTCCAGTCTCTCCAGCCTTCGCTTCCAGCCCCGTCCCTCTGGTAGGCTTAGACCCAGGCCCTCGGCAGGGCTGGGGAACAGGGACCAGGCCTGTCTACTGCCCCCTCTCTTCTCTCCTCTAGGGGGAGGAGGGTATTTTCAACACCCACCTCCCAAATGCATATCAACATATCAGACCAGGTCAGGGGAACCGCAGACCTGTAGTCAGCCCGAGACGCCGACTCTTTGGGCTGAGCCAAGCCCCCACTGCCCTATGTGTCTGCATACACTGCCCCCTCCCTGAAGTAAGGAGAGCTCCTAATAGGCACCTGCCAGAGAGTTGGTGGGAGATCCGAGCTGGTTGATGGCTCCATGGAGACGACTGTGTACAATCACTCAGGGAGTACAGGATCGCATGGAGCCCAGGGCTTGCCCGCTGGTCACTGTGGTTACTCTCCTAAACTCTAGACGCCTCAGGGATGCTTGTGAACATGATTATAACGGGTAACACACTGTTTGGGGATTAATACTTGGGCTTACAGAGGGATAGACTCCGCTGTCCAATATGGCAGCCCTTGGCCATAGGTGGCTATTTAAATGTAAATTAATTAAAATGAAATAAAATTTAAAATCTAATTCTTCAGTCACATTACCCTTATTTCAAGAGCTCAATAGTCACATGTGGCCAGTGGCTGCCATATTGGACGCTCAGAAAGATAACATTGGCATCAGTACAGTATGATCGAATGGACAAAGCTGGAAACATTTCAGGCCTTGGGGAGGGAGTGGGGTGGGATTCTCTCGGAGATGCTGTATTAAGAGCAAGGTTCCCAACCCCTTGCACCCAGATCCCTCAGCTGGGCTCAAGGGCAAAAGCCCCAGAGGCTTAGATCAACCTTCTCGTCTCTCACCCCAAACAGGAATGAGAAGAGTCTCTATAGAACCCTTGGCCCTTAGTGAGGTGGCAGCACTGGCTGCTGTTGGATGAGATTTGACCAAAAGTCACCAGAGGCGGCCTTCTAGCTTTCAGGCTTTGTCCTGAGAGCTGAGCAGGAGCTCTCCTGCCCCCTGCCATGTCCACCCTGACTTGTGTCTGCCCCCTCAGGTCATACGGGGACCTCCAGTGCACCCCGTACTGCTCCATCGACTCCACGCCCTGCCGCTACTTCACCTGAGGGCTCCAAGAGCAGGTGGGCTGCATCCCACACACCTGCAGCAACTTCTCCACCCTCATTCAACTGACCGCGCACTGTCCTGGTCCAGTTTCCATCACCTTCATGCAAGAAAAACAAGGATAAGCTCTTGCTGCTAAGACGTGCTTTTAACTCGGTCCGACTGGAAGAACTTAGGACCACTGCATCCTGTCTTAATCCAAAGTACTGGAAAACCTCCACATGCCCAGCCCGGGGACTGTGTTTGACCCACCGCTCCCTTCGGGCCAGGAGCTGAGCTACAGGGCCTGTTCTCTCCCCGCGTGTTGTCCACCCAGGCTGTGGAATGGCTTAGCACTGTTAGACACACGTAGACCTGCGGGCTGTTTGTTCTCATCCTGTTGGGGGGCATCTGGGGTACAGGCCTCTCGGTCCCTCTAACCTCTGGAAACGTGGGCATTCTCACCAGAACAGCTGGCTGCCGGGTCTCTCCAGGCCTGTGAACCATGCAGCAGAGAAGGCGACCCATTCCCTAGGGGCGGCTCCCAGCTCTGCACCTGCTGAAGGACCTCTCAACTGGCCACAGCCCAGCACAGCCTCATGTGGACATCCCCCAACAAGAGACCCAACTGTGAAGAAGTACTGAGAAAGCAACCAGACCCACACTGTGCCCTGGGTGGAGGGCGGAGGCTCAGCTTCGGTGCCTGCCATGCTGACAAATGCAGAGCAGTGGCTTTCTGCTTCTTGACGTTTCCCAAAGGGGCAGCTCTTGTGGCTTTGCCATCCCAGGCACCATCTTGCCCTTGTGGTTCTCTGCATTTTTGACCTCTGTCTCTCCAACGCCCCTCATGTGCGTTTCTTGTTCAGGAGATTTGCTGGCAAAAGGTGACCCGAGTCCAGGCCCAGGCAGGCTGTCGGTGTTTCCTCAGTCCTGAGGAGAACCCCACCCTGAGTGTCCCATCTGACACCCCACCACTTCTAGGCAGAGACGGTTTCTGTCCTGAGCTCCAGCCCCTGGCTGCCTGCTGGCTCCTCCTACAAGAGCCCTGTGACCTCCCTCTGTGTCCCTGTAGAGTAGCTTGGTCCTCGTGTCCATGTGCCTGAGCCCCCCACGTGTCTACAGGATCGTTGGCCTGCATGTCTGTGAGCTGCCTTTCATCACCATCTTTCCTGAGTGGGACTTAGCTTTGTTTTGAAAAGATGTCTTCCCCACAGCAGACCTCAAATGGGATGGAGGGACACTCCTGGGCTTTTTTACAAAGCTATTTAACGTGGCTAAGTCTTGGGGACTCAGCAGACAGGAGCTTCTGGCCCAGCGGGCCATCATGCTGGTGGCCTCTAGTGGATGGGGTCAGCCCGAAGGTGGTGTCTTCAGAGGTAGGCACGTTGGTCAGCTTGGTTTCCTCAACCTCCACTGCAAGTCCTGGGGCGATGCTGCTCCCATGTAAAGCCGCCACCTTCATACTGGGATCTCCGGGTGGGAAATAAGAAATAAAGATAGTTCTTTTCCCCCACTGTGGCTCCCTCTTCCCTGGGGGTCTGGGGTTAGTGTCCAGCATTGCTGAATGGAATGAGGGGTCTGAATTCAAGTCTTCTTCCCAGCTCTGCAGAGGATTCTAGAATTTGGATGCATTCCCACTCCCTCAGGGACAAGGGAGGAAACTGAGGTTCAGAGACGTGGAGGGACTTGCCCAAGGTCACAAAGCCCAGCGTTGCTTACCCAGGCCCACCCCAGCCTTGTATTAACATGTGGTTTAGGACAGACTGGAGATCCGGTACTGCCCTGGGCCCGGCTGAGAAGACCCCTGTCCTGGGTCTCACCCCTTGGAAGGCATTCATCTGTTTAATTATCCTATATAATTTGCTTAACTTCTCTGAGTCTTTGTTTTCTCATCAATAGACTGAGAATAATAGTACCTTATTTCAGGGTTGTGTTGAATTTTAGCGACCAATGGTTAAAATTTCTGACACCTAGAAACTGTTTAGGAAGTGTTGGATTTTATCTGTGTCATTATTATTTAGTGGCTTAGGCCACATCAATGACTTCTTTGGGGACCTGGGGTGTTTTTCTTCCCCCTTTGAGTTCACTTTTGACAGCAGTTTGGAATGCAGCCTTCACTGAAGGGAGCAGTGGTTCTCAAGCTTGGCTGCACAGTAGCCCATTTGGTGAATGCCACCAGGATGAGCCTGCAGACCAAACGCCAGAGGAGCAATGGGGCACCTCATCAAACCAAGAAAGATGACGATAGGCTTTGGGGAGGGGTGGAGAGTAAGGAGAATGCGGAAGAAGCAGTGTTGGGACGCGCAGAGCAAAGCAGGCTGTGTGTAAAGGGGTCAACATCAAGCCTGGACTGGGACTTGGACCCAGGTCCTAACTCCTTAAAAAAATAGTTAAGAAAATACATGGAATGTTGTGCCTGAACACCGACAGTTCTGTACCTAGGGTGGAAATTGAAACTGCTTCTCTGTGTAAGTGACTCACGCAGCCCAGGTCTCACAGGCAAGAGGGGAAGGTTCCGTTCTTACTGACAGGCTTGCAAACTGCCAAGTTTTGACAGCCCACGCTGTTGGCAACCAAGTTTTGCAGTGATTTTTGTTCAAGCGGCAGGAGTAACACAGGGAGGCTGGGGATGTCATTGGAAAGCTAGCAGTAGTCACTCAGATAAGGGAGCAATTATGATGCTTTTGAGCTGCAGCGGTGACCTTGGGAGAAAGATGGCTTCCTGTTAACTTGCAGCTGGCTTTATAAGCATCTGCTCTGGCAGTCTGAAGGGTAGGAGGGCACAGGGCTGACTCGTGCCCTCTTAGTCCGAACTGGTTTATTTTTACTCTTTCACTACTAATGGGCCCAAGCTCTGCTCAGCTGATCCAAGGATCCGCCTGTTGCTAGGATTCTCCAGGCCAGCCCAGAAGCTCCTATCCTAACCAGGAAGTGTGGGGATGGGTTTGGCCATAGGACTCTTCTCTACCCACCTGTAAAGCTTTTTGAGTGACAGATTTATAAGCAAAGTAAGGTCTTTGAAGGAAGCTTGGTAACCAGTACTTAGAAACCAATCCTTGGGAAGATGGTAGTTTCTGAGCATCTTGGGACAGACACACGGGTCATCCGTCACTCTAATAGAGGCATGGAGGGCACAAGTGGGTCAAATTGCTTAAGAATCTCCAAACCTCCTAATTAATAGGCCAACCTATGGCCCAAAGACTGCTTTACTTGAGTTGTCTGCCCCATCTCTCCCCTATAATGGGAGTTAACCAATTTAAATTTACAATGGAACCCAGGTCTTCTATTTGTGAAGTAACAGCGAGCTCACAGGTCAAAGACCTTGGCAATTCACCAAGATTATCACACTTGCGTAACCCAGTTACCATTCAAAAGCTCCAGGAGTGTCTATTCTGCCTCATCTTCATTGGCAACCATTCTCACAGGCTTGCAAATCACACAAGAGTAATGGGTGAAGGTCTCCCCACCACACCTCATCCAACCCCCGAGAAATATAGGAAAAGAACTCACGAGGCCTTCACCAGAGGGGCTTTTTCTCTGGGGGTTCACCTGTGTTATTTTCGTTGATATGTAAACGAATGAAAAGACAGTTGACTTTTAGAGTCAGACAAGTCTACAAAAAACTACCTTATGAAAGGAAGAAATTGGCTATTTCCCCTGCTCTCGGTTCCCCCTTGCCCCACTCCCTTTATAGAAACTTAAAACAGTCACTGGGCCATAGGTTCGCCCTATTAATTATAATGAGGTTTGGAGAGTGTTAAGCAATTTGACCCACATGTGCCCTCCATGCCCTTATTAGAGTGATGGATGACTGGTGTGTCTGTCCCAAGATGCCCATGTGACACTGAAATTCTGCTGCAGAGACACTAGGATCTCAGGAGATTTTCATTTGTGGTTATTTTGGCTTCTGTAATTTCTTCAAGGGCAATGATGAATTTTCTTGTCTTTGATGTTCCAACCCATATACAGTACCACACTCCCATTGCATGCCCTGCCCCGTGTTACGCTCATTTCCACACATAGGAGATTGAAGGCAGCCATCACGGTCAAGGATTATCACTTGACGCTCACCAAGGGAGTGTTTTCCTGAGGCATGGGTTCTCAATTCGAGTTCATCAGAATGACCTGAAGTCCTTGTCAAAACAGATTACTGGGTCCCGCCCTCGAGTTTCGGATTTCGTAGGTCTGGGGTTTGCCTTTCTAACAAGGTCTCAGGGGGTGCTGATGCTGTTGGACCAGGGACCTTCTTTTAAGAGCCACTGATCCAGGGAGATGGCTCATCTGAGGACAACTGCTAGATTAGGTAAAAAATACAGGGAAGAAAGCGGGGGACTTTGAGGAGGTGGCTTTTTAATATTTTCCCATTAAATAGGTGGGGGTCTGTATCCCTTCCTCTTGCATCCAGGTGGGTTTTTGACTGCTTTGACCAAGAGAATACTGTGGAGTTGATGCTGTGTGACTTCCAAGGCTAGGTCATAAAGGCCATGAAGCTTCTCAGAGCACTCATTCTACGGGAAGGAAGCCATCATATGAGAAGACTGGGTACCTTGAGACTGCCATGCTAGACAGGCCACGTGGGCCCTCTGGTTAACGGTCCCAAATAACCCTGCTTCCAGCTGTCCATGATGCCAGACATGTGAGTGAAGCCAGCCTGGACTTCCAGTCCTGCCCATTTTCCAACTGAGTACCACTGAGTGACCTCAGTTGAAGCCACAAAGAGCAGAACTGCCCAAATTCTGTCCTAATTCCTAAGTGATTCCATAAGATAAAATGGTTGTTGTTTTAAGTCGCTAAGTTTTGGGAGAGTTTGTTACTTAGCAATAGACAAGCAGAATACTGCTCTAGGTTAAAAAGGTTAGGAGGAAAACAAACTACACGCAGTGAATAAAAGAGGGAAGTTCCAAGCCTAGAGAAGTCATTGGCTTGGGTTTGGTGCCCTCTGCAGGAGCCATGAATAGAAACGTCTTAACTCCCACTGGGATGTTTACCTGGCCAGGAGAAAAGCCAAAGCTAGGAGAGGCCTTAGTGATTCTATGGCTCAGGGTTCTCAGCCATGGTGGAGACATGGGGCATGTGGAGGTAGTAAACTGATTGCAATAATTTCTCAAATTTTCATACCTCCCTCTATCCATCCATACCTTACTCCTCCCATCAATTGGTGGAGTGTATTTCCCCACCCCTTGATTCTGAACTTGGCCCTGTGACTTGCTTTGGCCAATGACATGTTAGCAATTGTGACAGAGGCAGCTGTGCTTCCTCTTTCACTCTAGCATCTCTCCCTCTGCCATGACAGTACACCTAGGCTAGGTTGCTAGAGGATGACACATGGAGCTGACCTGAGTTGACCAGCCTGAGTTGCCTCAGTTGTATTGGCCAAGGCCATCCTAGATCAGCTGACCCTTTCAGCTGTCAGGCATATGAAGGAGTCCAAGCAAGACCAGAACTGTCTAGCCACACCCAGTTTAAATTGCCAATCTGGACTTGTGAGCAAAATGCTTATTATTTTAAGTCATTGAGTTTTGAGATAGTTTGTTACATGTCATTACAGTGGCAGCAGTTAACTGAGCATCAAATGCTTAGGTGATGAATGTACACCACCACTTCCCCACTGAGTGTCCTGGTTCAAGTCTAACTCCTATTTCCACCTGAGGACATAGGAACCAATTACAGAATAAGCAGCAGAGGATTCCTGGCCTAGATCTCTTGATGTGTAATTGTATTCAATCCAAATTTCTGGAGCACCCATTAGGTGAAAGACACCACAGAATTCAAAAGGAATATGGTCACAGCCCACCTAGGAGTTTACAGTCTATCAGGGGAGCCAAGACCACAAGACAGATGTGGGCATTGCTGATCAGAGGTGTGGACTGGAAGCAAGAGGCAGGATCACTTCCAGCCCTCGAGTGTCGATATGGGGTCAGGGGTATATGTGTGGCATGGCATTCGCGGTGAAGGAATCTGGTGAGCTAAAATGAGTAGGATATGTCTAGGGATTCAGTTTAACCCCTGAATGGTTCTTAGATCCAAAGCTAAGCCTGCCTGTCCAGACCAAGTAAAATGGCCTCAGATGTCATGTGGCTTACTAAAGTCATCCTTTAGTTTTGAACTTACAAACCTTTTAAAACTGAGGTGTACGTCCTAATGACCATAACACCAAACTAAAAAGGAATCAATTTAGATAATCAGGGTTAACCACAAGGATTCCTAAAAGAACCCTACATTTTTCATTGAAAATAAAACCCAGCAAGACGGGAAGTATATTGCTGACCTTAATTTTTACTTAAATACAGTGATCTTTTAAGAGAATAAACCAAAAAAAAAACTTTACACAGCAAATATTTTACATAAATGTAAACATGCACATCTACTTCATAATTAAGCAAAATAAACTTTTAAGCACAAAATTTTAAAAATCATTAAAGAATTAGACAATGAATCCAAGACAGAAAATAACAGGAGCAACAAAAACAGACATTTCATAAAGCTTCAATTGGTCTTGTCTTCCAACCTACTGGTTAAGGCCTGAGTTTCAGAAATCCTACCTTCCTTGCCAAATGGAACCATCCAATTTGGCTGTACCTAATATATATCCACATAGAGTATTACTCTTTCAAAATAATATAATAAATATCTCCCTCCCTCTCTCTCTCTCTCTCTCTCTCTCTCTCTCTCACACACACACACACACACACACACACACACACACACACACACACACACCCCTATTTAACCAGCCTTTCAAATAGGGAAGTAAGGATTGTGGAATTTTCAAGTTTTCCCACTATTGAAGCACATACATATTAATACCACACATAGAAAAAATGATTCTGCTACTGAAATAAAATAGTGAGTGGCATCATTACAAATCTCTAGTTTGTTTGTATTGTTTTCCCAAATCACGTCTTTACTGTGGTTTGCCATAGCTCCTCAGATACTTCAGACTTAAATCTTTACACCTCACCTAATGACCCACAGAATGGTAGACGTATAGAACAAAGAAATGGCAATTTTAACAATTCAGTTAGAAACTTCAAAATTATGTAAATTAGCACGGATAGTTTTCAGATGTCTCCAAATGCCTGGAATGTTTTCTCTATGTATGTCTACCCTCTCTATTCCACCGGTAGGTTCTCCCTGCCTCCTTCCCACCAGGCTACAAGCATCTGAATGTCTATTCCTGTGGACCCCCAGGGGATAGACAGAATAACGGTCCCTGCTTTGAAGGAGTTCACACTAACCAGAGATCAAGCAAGGAGAAGGTCAGTATGTGCACACAGTACTGCAGTCAGTTGAAATGAACAGAGGCGAGTCCATGAAGATGGCACCCACAGCGCCTCAGGAGTAAGGTTTGGTGGGGGAGAGGGGGAGGAGAGATGAGAAGGCACAGAGGCATGAAGAACAAGTCCAGTTTGGCTGGCACGAGAGTACTCATGAGAAGTAGTCTGTAAGGCCAAACTCTTGATTTCCCAAAAGAAACAATTCCTTATTCTGGTAGGTAAAGCTGGCTTGTGGGGGGAAGGAACCCCCAAAGGCTTTGTGCAGAGAACCAAACTGGAGCCGTGCTAAGGACAAGCAAGCGTTCAGGCTTGGGTAGGATGGATGACAGGGCAGAGTCTGAAGCTCAGAAAGCTTGAATCGCCAAACCCAGTGCCACGTGCAAGCATTTCCTATAGAAATAAACATCTTTACCCGACATGCCCAAAACCACAGTTCTGTCTATATATGTGAAGACTTTGGGAGGAAAAAAAAAAAAAGAGGCTTAAATAGATATTTTTAGTTCAAGTTCCTGGAACCTGCCCCAGCTTGAGCAAGTTAAGAGCAGTAAAACATTCCCACATCCAGTAACAATTCAAGTGTCCCAATCATGACCATCACCCTCCCTGAGCTGTCATTACCAAGGAATTATAAAGCAGTTATCAATTCATTATAAATAAGTTCCTACCTGCCATTAAATCCACTGACACCTCATAATGGGCTGAGAACCCACCAGAGGGTCCAAGTGTGTGCCTGTCACCTACACTTGGTAGAGCGGTGTGAGTGTGCTGCTGGACAATGGCTGCTAGTCCCCGTCTCCAGCTCACTGGGTCGCTGGTTGAAACCAGGGGACTACAAGGCTCAACTCTAACCAAAGCCCCCACCATGAATCGAATTCCTTTCTAGGTCCACACTGCTTCCCTCCCCTAGGTGGGGAGGGACAGACCATCTGAGTAGAGGGACCCCAGGAAGAAAAATCATATTTAATGTTCTTGATACCCACTAAACCAAAGTAGATGGAAATTCCTCAGGACATAGTCATTCAAATTACAGAAATGAGACCCCATTCTAATTATGAGACAATTTATCACACATTCACTCAATATGGAACATTTACTAGTGAGTGCAGTTTCCTGTAATAACAGACTCATTTGGAAACTGCACACTACAGAAGGCAATCATGTGACTTTCTTCTAGTTGTATATAAAAATACACATCCGTCTGGGAGTCAGGCACAAACAGTGGTACAAAAGCATGAACAGAAATACCTTATCAAAAGAATGTGCTCATTTCATATTGCAGAGCTCCTATCTAGAATCTGGTTTTTGAAAACTTGTTGGCTGGTTCATTTGTTCAGAAAGGTTTCTTCATCACACCTCTCTTCCCCTCCCACGTCCCCCACTAAAACCCATGGAGAGAAGAACTGAGCGTAGATCCACATGGAACTGAGAGCCCCTATCTGAGTCACGTGCCAGCACAGTGGCTGCCCATTAACCTGCTCCCCCAGCCTCATGTGTTTAGGGACTGTCTGGTTTTGAACTGGAGCTAGACATGCCCAACATTTTTATCTTTTGGAATCCAGTAAAAAGCTCCAATGTACATCTGTAAGTCCCATGTGTAAGAATCTCTGGTTCCAGTAAGTGAGATTCAAGGGAGGGAGGAGTGGGAAAAGCCTGGACTGGAGGCAGGAGACTGGCCATGCACCAGCTGTGTGCTTCACTTTCCTTATTTGTAAGTGAGGGGTTTGAACTGCCAGAGGCCAGGGTCCCGTCCAGCTGACGTTCGAGGACTCCATCTTGAAGTCCGCTTCCACACAGGCTTGTCAGGCTGGTTCAGACAAAACTTCCTTACTACTTTGTGCCCACAATTTAAAGTGGTTTTAACATACTTCTGTGCTGCAGTTTGAGGTTTCCCTCCCTTTCCTACCCCTCAGAGGCTGTTTCATTTTACTGGCGCAGAGCACTTGGCCAAACTGGTGACTGCTGATGTTTAAAACTGAATCACTGGCTTGGTGAAGATAGGGCCTTTGAGTAACCTAGACCAGGGCACATGTGTCTGTTTTTCATTAACAGTGTTAACCAAATAGAAATGTGATTCAGTCAGTTCTTCTATAGAACTACTTAAACTTTGAAACATGAGATTGTTCAAAAATTACACGAGAAAATCACCCATCACCATTAAGTTAAAGACTTGAATATCTGAGAGGTCCTACTACAGTCACTGACCCACAACACTTTCCTCTTGGCAATGGGCTTCATGCAGGGTAGCCCGGTCTTGCAGCATATTTGTGCACCAAAAAGTTGATTTCGAAAGATCCAGCTCTAGTCATCACTGTCACTGCCTGACTCGCTCAACTGCAAGTCATTTCCTATAAAAAGAAAACAGAATCAAAGCAAAAGTACACAATTTAAAAATGACTTCCCCACAGTTCTTTGGTTGACTGCCTTGGGTATCACACTATAGTAAAACCAGGCCAATTCAATTTAGTAGGGAAGAAAATTGATTTGACTCAGTGACAAAACTGGTACAGTCACCATTTTGAAAGAAATGCTATCTTTGGTATCTGCAAAGCACAGCAATGCTGCTTATACTGAGATAGAACAGCGGAGGATTAGGCTAGATAGCTTTCAAATGTGTTAATAAACTGCAAGAAAATATTTCTCAATAACTATTTCACTGTCTATAGAGTTTTTCACATTAACTTGCTTTATAAAAGCTAAAACAACAAGTTGGGCTTTCCATTAAGGAAGCGGACTACTGTTTACACCTGTAACACGCTAATCCAATACCCCCTCTGGTACACCTCTGTCCAGGATATTCATGTTACTTTAAACCTGAAATCTGAACTAATGAATTTTGTAAAGCCTCAGATTTTTGTTTGGTGTGCAGAATTTAGGTTTCAGAGGTGAAAAATACAAGTACTCAACATTTTGATCTATTATAATAATAACAGATTCCCAGTTGACACCAAGTAGATTACAAAAGTAAACTTCTATATCTAGAGTGCTACTCTCTATGCCAGCTCTTCCCAAAATCTGTTCTGAGGACCCTGGGGTCCCTGAGACCCTTTCAGAAGGGTTTAACCCAAAGGTCCTTCCTTTTTAACTACATATTTGTGATGCCAGGTTTTCTTCATATACTTCAACCCAAACAATCTATGGCAACCGACTGAATGCAGAAACACATGTAAGAATCCATCTTTGTACTAAGCCAGACATTAAACAGGTTGGCAAAATTTTAAAGCAAACTTACTAAATATTTTTTGATTTGGGAAATTTTTCATAAAAATTGTTATTTTTGTTAAAATGTGATGGTTTATTATTGTTCTTTTAAATGAATTCCTGAATATTTTAAGTATTTTTACATCAGAGTTTAGCAAATTTGTGCTATTTACTATGATCTGAGGGTTTATAAGGTAGTTCCTGTTCACACTCCTGGTTTAAAGAACTCTAGTACTTGGTTCTATGTGAAGTATGCAAAGATTAAGGTCTCACCATTTGAAGAGCTGAAGAACAGGATGACTTAAGGGACATAAAGAGCTAAAGGGAATTTAAAGCACTGGTGGGTAGTGCCACAGTGACACCCACTGTGCCATTTTTTGCTCCTTCTTTCTAGCAGGAAACTGATTTAGCATTGACTGGGCCAAATAAAGAAATGAGTTAAAGCCACAGTAGCTGTCTGCTACTTTTCCACTATGAATACCAAACTCCCAATGTGAAATTTACTATCCCTAGTCAGCTGAGAAGAGCACCAAAGTATACTTTGAATTCCAGAATCTGGGCCCATACAGTGGGAGAGTAGACAATATCCTTAACTGATACCATAGTGTTGAACTCACTCAGGTAAAAAAGCAGGGTCTAGTGTAGTGGTTTTCCAGTGGGGGTGATTTTGCCCCCCAGGGAACACTTGGCAACATCTTGAGATAATTTTTGTTTGACACTACCGGGGGAGAAGGGGGTAGTGTTTCTGGCATCTAGTGGGTAGAGGCCAGGGATGCTCTTAACCTTCCTACAATGTATAGGCCAGCCCCCCACAACAAAGCTTTATCTGGCCAAAAATGTCTATAGTGCCGAGGTTGAGAATTCTCTTTACCAGGTCCACAGTAGCAGGGTTCACTAGGTTAGCTTCCTCACTATTGTCTCCAGACCTTCCAACCTCCTCAAAGAAAGTCGTAACACAGGAGAGCACTCATTAGGGTTCTGGAGAGGTAAGAGCGTAGAGAACTAGCCCTTTCCTACCTCCTAAACAAAGAAATTCATTATTGTTCTCGTTTCCTCTGCTTTTAGTGTCAACTGCACCGAAAGCCACCCAGACATTACAATGTCTCTTCCTTTCCGTTGCCAAAGACTAGTTGGTCTCCAAATATATCCAACAGCATAGGTTCCCAAGCCTGTAGGCTGTAGGACACCCATCTGGGGACACTGGGTTCTTGGGACTGTATAAGCACCTGGAGGTGGGGGACAGTTTGGTGGCAGGCAGCACCCCTCAAGTCTAGTATATGCAAAAATAAAGAGCCTAGCTGTTCACGTTTCAGCATTTTCCAGAATTCACAGAACCTAATTTGTGCCAGTGGGGAAAAAGAAACAGAAAAAACAGATTTTTTAGTTTTGTGCTTCCGATTTTTTAATATTTGATAATTTATTTCTTTCTGCTCCGAATTATCTTTGTCGGGATCCTTTCCTTATGCCTTGAATACCTTCAGGTTTAGAGATTCTTATCTAAGCTAAATAGAAGGCACATCTCTGGCCTACACGCCACCCCTCTCTCAGCCAGAAAAGGGAAAGCACACTTACTGAGGGTGTTCATGAGCTGGTTGCTTCCTTGTGACCGGCTGGTTCCATTGGCGATGGCCGGCCTGCTGTTGTAGGGCTGCTGGTGTGAAGGCTGTGGCGATGCGGGGCCATGGTCTTCGCCTCCGCTGCTGGAGCTGTCGTCATCGCTTCCTGAGGAGCTCTCAGAGTCTGAGGAGCTGCTCCCACTGCTGCTGCTCATCTGTTCAATAATGTCAACTTCAGCCCTCAGCTCTGGAATGACATGGCGTGACAGGGGTCAGCACAGCAACTAGGCTCAAGGCAGCACACTGAGCCTTCTGTAAGGAGTACAGCGGCTAAAGCACTACCATTGGGGAATAACTCCAAACAAACTCCTGCTTCTCAATTCCTTAAAAACGTACAAACAAAATGACCAAAACTAACACCTTTATCTACTAATAAAAAAAGAAGATTGTGAATTATGGAATTAAACATCAAATAAGAGAAGGGCAATATTATGCTAAGGGGTTGAAAAATATTTGACTAGGGATTGGCAGGTCTCAGTGCTTGTTTTGGATCGACCTCTAAACCAGTAGTGAGACACAAGTGGACATCAATGATTTTACCAAGGCACTCTGGAAAATGAAGGGCCAGAGCAGACAACCTCTGGGGTCCTTTCCAGTTTTCATGTCCCATGAATAAATGAAGGCTTGTAGGAGGAACCACGATGACTGCAGAAAAATGGCTAAACATTCCTCTGCTGTATTCTTTACGTATTTGACTAACAGCCTTGCCTGTCAGGTACTGCATTTTTTACAGATGTTAAGCAGGGAAGGAAAAACATGTTTTATCTAAGCATTTCAATATCACTGAATATATTAAAGACACATCATAGATTTTCCTGTCCAAACACACCTTAAACAGCTAAGGTTCCTTTAAGCATAACTGGCAACAACTAACCACTCATGGTCCAATTCCTGTTTATAACTTAAGTGAAAACTTCCACAAATGGCATTCCAATATCCATGAGGACAAAAAAAAAAAAATCAAGATGCTTCACAACTGTGCACCATGCAAAGAGTGATTTTATTTGCTGAAACACAGTGTTTCTATACAGTGGAAAAGGCAAACTTACTAAGGACAACTCTTTCTTTCCCTATTTACTGCTGTTATGAATTTAATTTTTTCATAAAACTTTACAAATATGAAATACTTACTGCCATAACTTCCTAAAAATCTGGACAACTAAAACCATCCATTGTATAGGGAAGAAAGCCAAGGTATCTTTATCTCAGGTATGCATTGGAGAAAGGAGTCTATCAGACTTCTAAGTCTTTCAGAGCCAGTATCCATTTTCACTGGTCCTCCTGGCACTTTTCATATCTACACAATTTGTGTTAGTACCAAGCACTAGTCATGGTATTTTAAATGTCCCTCTAACTTAGAAACTATACTGACATCAGCACACTTTGTTTCCACCCCAGCACCTTGGAATTTTCTTTTTCCATAGCCTTAAAGGTGTGTCACATGGAGCGTTAGACAGCAGTCATGCTTGTTTAAACCCTGGGCCTCTAAGCAGAACACTGTAAAGACAGCCACAACTCAGGTCACTCTGCCTGGACTCCTCCTTGTCAAATAAGGTAAGAGCCCCTGCCCTCAGCACCTCTGGAGTTATGAACTCCACAGCAATCTTTTCAGTGGCAGAGAATGCACATGTCGTCTTGTCAACACGGCAGCCTTGTTATCTCTACAATCATATTAACACCCCACTCCAAGTTGCTATCGTGCCTCCAGAAAATGCTCTCTACCTCTTTTGATGTCATCCAGCTGCGGTTCAGGTGAAGGGTTATCTTTCAAGGGGGAAGTTTTGGGTCCAACTGGAGGCTTTGTTGGAGCTCTGAATGGCATAGGTGGTGGCGGCGGCGGCGGTGGAGGCTGTGATGGCTGCGGGGGACGAGTGGGCTGCTGTTCCATTCGGGCTTGGATTTTACTGCTCCCCTCAGCCCTGAAATGAGATACAGACATTAAATTAGAGCGGAAAAACCAGTGGTTCTCAAATTTGCCCAGGTGACCAAGCACCTGGAAGTCTCTGTAGAACCCCATGCTTTTTAGACCGTTGCAAAATATTGACATTTATAATTTTATCTCATGAACTAATCCTTCAACAACTGTCTACTGTATTCTGGTACTGCATTATGCACCAGAGATAGAGATGAATACAACAGACTGGCTGCCCTCAAGGAGCTCACGTTTTATAGCAACAGGTGATAAAAACAGATATGCAGAATACAATGGATTATGAGAACCCATTTTACTAATAGAAAATATGACTATTTGACTTGTAAACAATTTAAAGTGATAAACACAAATGTATGAGTTACTAAATAAACCTAGCTCTTGAAATACTGGCCAGTTTGTGAATTTTTCCATTATCAATTTACTGCTTGCTCATTTTGTCATATGCCAGCTCTTGCCCTCAGACAAGAAAAGTGTTCTACCCCAAACTGAGAAAATTCTATTAACAATTTCTTTTGTAAATGGACTGGCCCAGCACTTTTCAAACTTTAGTGTGCATTCAAACCATCTGGGGCTCATTCAAATGCAGATTCTTACTTAGCAGGTCCTGAAATTCTGCACTTTTAGCAAGCATCCAAGTGATAAATGCTGCTAGCCCCAGAAGACACTGCGTAATAAGAGAAATGCTCACAACCACCAGCTTTTGGAGGAGTAACAGCAGCACCTGGTTCATGGAGGTAATTAATACAAATGCACTGAGTGGCAGGAGAGGAGCAGGGGCTCTGCAGCGCCCTGGCACTGGACTTAGGTAAGTCAGTCTCACTTTCCTAAGTCTCTTCATCTGCGCATGTGTTTTACAGGATAGCAACAGCATCTTTCTCAGAGTTGTTTAAAGATGAGATAATGCCATAAAGCATCTAGCATAGTTTTTGGCAATATGATAATTAGCTACTCTAATTTTTTGGTGAAACAAGTAAAGAAAAATGGCTTGAGGAAGCACAAAGAGAAAAGCATCAAGCTGTAACACTTCTTTAAAATATAATTACTATAGTAAAATAATTGCTATATCGCAATGTAACAATAGAACCACTGGCTTACTTCTATTTATAGAATGAATTTTGACTTTAAAATAAAATCTAATTGGCTTCATATCAGACATGTAATAACTATTAAATTAGATATCAAAGAGAGCTCACTAGCTCAAAAAATAGGCAAAGCTTTATTTTGGTATTATAATGACCTCAAATGGATCTTATAAAAAATTAATGTTTTTACTCTAATAAAGACTATAGCATTCAATTATTCTTTCATAATTATAAGTCTATAAAATTTAAATCTTATCCCTTAAGTGGAACTGTATCAAAAAGCTTGAGATTAATAAAATGAATTTAATTACAAAGTACACCCCTTCCCCCAATGGCTTCCACGTTTCAGGTCTTAAAAGCATTATTTCTTTCTATTACATTTGAGGAAAAGATGTTTTACTGATTTGTCTGGGAAGACAGGTGGAGTTGTTGAGATTACCGATAGTATACTGTGACCCTGGATGTTAACATCCTTGTAAAATAACTGAATAGATAACACAAAGATAGATAGAAACAACATATCAATCTGTACCTGGTTATTCACATACCTTGTTTTCTTGACCTGAATGCTGCTGCTGAGTTTTTCCAGCACATATTCACCAGTGTCATGATTAATAATAAGCACACAGTCTTTCTGATAAGGCCGTTTGTTCCCCTTGAACACAGTCATTGGTGGTGTGGATCCCTATATGCCACAAAAAGTATTAGAGGATCAAAACTAAACACACCAGTTTTGAATATCAAAACTGAATTTATAGGTGACTCTACCTCATCAAATCTTTGCTCAGAGCAACTCAAAAAGAACAGATTAAACTAATTGCTATTTTAACTCTTTCTGGCTTCTCAGGCAATAAAGGGGAAATAATAATTATACCAAGAATCTGTGACTGAGCAACTAGTCCTAAGTAATCAAGAAAGGTAATATAAATTTTTAAATTACTGTATATTTTTGCAGAGATTCGGGAAATGTTGCAAATAATAATAAAGTGTGAACTGAGAAAAACAAATTAACCATTAATTTTATTACACTGAGGAGAGTTTTCACAATGACAAGTAAAACTTCTTTAGTGGGCCATCCCTAAAATTTCCTTGTAATTGGCAGGTCCAGGGCTTCTCATGCCAAGTAACCAACAGAGCATCTCCAAGAGCAGCTCATTATTCTGGTTAGCTCAGAGTAAGTACATCATGCCACTCACCAGCCTAGGCCCTTTGATCATTAACCCATTGCTCTGAGGTCAAATAATTAAAATCTTTAAACCAACCATGTAGCCCTTCATCCCCACCCACACCACTCATCCCTGGCCTCTGCTGGCTCCAGAGCAGGGCGGCTGGCGTTCTCTCACACCCTCAATCTCTTTCCTTTAATAAGGCTTCTACCTATAACGCCAGCCCCTCCCTCCCTTTCAATTGTACTCAACCTTCAAATCTACTCGAAGGTTACTTCCTTAGGGAAGCCTTCTGTGACTTTTTAAAGTAAGTGCTATGTTTTCTTACATTTAAACTCCATACCATAAGCTCCACAAGAGCAAGAAATGTACCTGTTTTGTTCAAACTGTATTCTCAGTGCCTACTAATGGACCAGGAGACAGTAGGGGCTCAATTAATATTTGCCAAATATAGGATTTAATCCCTTGTATAGAATCAAAAACTTTTTGGCTCCTTAACTCCTTATTCATACAGTAAAAATTTAAAGTAGGAAGGGACCTTAGGGACCATTTAACTAACCCCTTCATTTTACGTTTGGGAAAGGAAGGTCCAAAGGGACATGACGTAACCCACCACAGGCAACAAGTAATGAAACAGCAGTATGAACTCGCAGACAAGTAATTTTTCCAAAACACAAAGCATCCCAGGTCTCCCAGTCCAGAGCCTTTTCATGCTATCATTTGGTACTTACTGTGTTCCAGGACAGGGTTGTGACATGCAATGACACTTGTTCACTAAGAGTATTCTGTCTAATCCTTCGGGCTTTGTGATCAGAGTACTGCCTTGGGCAAGGCTTTACAAAAGCCTCTCTTTGCAAGGGTTCTCAATTCAGCTTTTAACTAAGTTCTGCATCGTTCAATTAGCTGAATGCTCTGAACCTCTGGTTCTTGCCTGAAACCATCGGCCTACACTTCACCCCCTGCCAGGTATATGGAATATGTAAGTCCTGCAGCCGCCTTAACTCCTAGCTTGGCAGTCCCACGTTCTTTGCCATTGTTATATATCAGCATGGCACCTAGGGCTTTTCTCTATAGAGATGCTTAAGGAAAAGCTACACTTGTCTAAAAGAGGGGCTAGGTGTCCAAGTAGGATCCTTGTCTACTTTGTAGCAAACGGGAGGGCGGGGGGATGGAACTTGGGGAAAATGGCAAAGAATCATTTTTCATCAAGCACCTGGGAAGCATGAATTCCACTCCACCCTGTACCCCAAATTCCCTTTTTCCTTATGTAGGCACTTTAAAAAATTTTAAACAGTAGGAAATTCAAATTGTAATAATGTGAAATATGAGGATTCACAGTGATTCTACATTTAAAAAGACAACAACATTGGAATAAACTCACAGGTATATGTGGCAGCGTAATTGTGACTTCATCTCCTTTGCCAACCTGAAGCTCTCCTTCACAGGAAGTATCTATAGATGCTGGCTTAAAATCATCTAAAGGGAAAAGAAAAAAAGCATTTATCTACCAGGTTACTTATACTAAGGACTCTCATTTAAGAATTAAAATTTTTTTTATTACTCAGATAAATGGAAAATACAAATAATTTAGAATATCTTTAAGAAAAACGATTTCATTGTGGAAAACTTCACATATACAAAAGCAGAGAAAAGAGTACAATGAAACTCTGTGTACTATCACGCCCAGCTTTAAAAATTACCAACTCAGGGACAATCTTGTTTCATCTATACCTCCATATGCTTTTTCTCCCACCCCAACTGGATTATTTGGAAGGAAAAAAACGAGGTTATATACCATTTTATTAAAGATATTCCTTTCTCCCCAGCGACAGATGAAAATTAATGCTTATTATCCATAATAAAGTGTTTTGTTAGGGTTGTTATGAGGATCAAAAGCAACAGCATATTAATAAGATTCTGTGATTGTGAAACCCTATATGAAATATGAAAGGCCACAGCATCATATAAGTTGATTTCATTTTGCATAGGAAATGTCACAATTAGGATTTGCCACACTCGAGCTCCAATAGCTGCAACAAAGATATTCCTGTAGAGGTTCAGAGTAGACGGTTCAACTGTATCTCCACAGGTTAGTCCTACATGTGTTTCTGAACTGCAGTTGAAGTACAACATGAATGGCCATCTTACTCCATTTTAACACACACCTGCCTCAAAATGCAGGCCAGGTGCATATGTGAAGTCTCATTTAAATTGTGCATTGCTCTTCACCCTCCTAAAACATCAACTTAGTACACCGCTCTTATCACATTCCCAGGATCTTCGGTCTAAGAGAGCTGATCTGCTGTCAGCAGGAAGCACAGCCATGGCACGGCAAAGTGACCACACAAAGGTGGGACATCATTATCTAACACGCCCTCTTGCAATGTGTTGAGTCACATCTATTAGCTCCTTTGACAAAAACAAGTCTTAACCAGCGTTAGCACTCAAGACAGGAAACCAGGGGCTGGCTCGTGAATCAGAGGGATGCTCAGTCAGCTCATAAAAGCCAATCTTTACCCAGGACAGAGAGGAGGTGCCCTCCCTCAACAGTCTATAATCACGTAGAAAAAGGAAGGTCCAGCATAATGACTACTGCGACATTCTCTATGCCTGCTCTCTTCGGCTTCCAAACATACATCATGCTGCAACATATTCCAGGCTCACAAATTCTAATTTTTGTCTTCGCCCACAAGGGACCCAGTCCTGGGTTAAAAGTGAGGTTAGTAGATGTCACCTCAAAAGACGTCCAAGTCAAACGAGGTGCAGAAAGCTGTAGGAGGAGAACTCTGATGGGGCGCAGAGAGGATGTGGGCTCTTTGGCTGCAAGAAGGGGTGGATAAAGCGCAGTGTGTCTGGGTGCCCAGAATAAAGACGGACGAGGAAGGAAAGCTGAGGAACACAGGGAAGAAGCGAGTGGAACAGGAGGGAGTGGAAGAGGCTCCCGAGCAAACAGGAAGAGTCCTTTAAACGTGAAGAACCGTGGTGGGGCAATCAGAAAGGGTGCGTGTGTGTGTGTGTGTGTGTGGGGGGGTGGTTTAGAGGGAGAAGAACTGGAGTCCGATGTGGGGTCAGTCTTTCGGTAATAAAGACGGCTTGGCATCAGGAAGGGCTGGGTGGGGGGACGAAAAGAGAGAAGGGCCCATGAGCTTCGGAAGGAGTGTTCGGGACCACGAGGCAGAATAATAGCTGGGTGTGACGAAGGGTTTGGTTTGAGAAGAGTGAGCTGGGGGGCCAAAGGGAGAACACTCGAGGTCCTGGAGGACCTGGGGTAGGAGAGAAGGGAGCTGACGTAGGCAGGGGGTTCCCTGTACTTTGGAAGGCCGAGGGAAGAGAGGAGGGATTCGAGGTTGGCAAGAGGCGGCCGAAGGGAGCCGTGGAGAGCGCTGACTTACAGCGAATGGTGTGGAAGGAGGCTCGCGGTCGCTTCTCGAAGCTCTCCCCCAGCCGCAGGCAGTGTTCCTCGCGGTCCAGCAGCGGGTTGACGGTCCCGTTCATGGCCCCCCACGGCCCTCGCGCCCCGACCGGCGCTATCCAAGCACGGCGGCGGAATGAGCTTCCGGCGCCGGCGTCTGGGAGTACGGTGCCTCCACGACACCGCTGCGGAGCGCACCGGGAACCCAGCCGGCGCCCACCCGGGGCCGGAAGCAAGTCTCTGCGGTGGGGTGGGGAAAGCCCCTGAGGAAGCAAGGCCGCGGGACTTCCGGCGTCAGGGAGGGACTTCTGGGTTCGTAGCGGAAGTGGCGGGGGCGGTGCCATAGCGATAGAATTCCGCCGGGATCCTGCGGTGCTCAACGCTGATTTGTTCAGACTCAGGGTTTTTCCGCGGCGGCTCCCAAATTCTCCTTCCGGGTTCTGGGCCAGACTGAGGGCTGGCTGCGCCCGACCTTCCCCCTCCACGGAGTCTAGGAGCTGATGACGGTGAGCCCAGAGCGCCGCTGACTAGATTAACACGGGTCCGTTAGCCGACATGGCCGGCTCTCCGCAGGCCCTCGCGGCCTGGTCAGCTTAGTTCATCCCAAGTGTCCTGAGACAGAGGGATCCTGGGGACCCTGCACCGCGCGTCACTCGGTCTCCTCCTTCCTTTCGCGCTGTGATGGCGGTGCGAAGGCCTGGAAAGCGACTCCCCCGCTGGTCTGAGGCAGCTTCTTGCGAGTGCGATCAGAGATTCAGGCCACCTGGACGTAGTAGTTCCATCTTCCCCGAAAAAACTGCGTCTCCGATCCGTGGGAAACGATGACAAACCCCCCACACACACACACACACTTCTGTCTGGCAGTTGACCACCCACCTCCAGTTCGGGCACCTGTTCTGGTTGTAGAATCACCCCGTTTCACAGGCACCGAAAATGAATGACTGTTTTCTCTCCAGGGTTTCTCAACCAGGTCTTGGGAAGTGTCCTTTTTCTAAGCTAAACCGATTTATTATGATAGATGACTTAGTCTGGTTTGGATTAGAGTTCGATGCGTGAGCGTCTAGGGCCACTGAGTGTAAGCCCTCTGAAGGCAGGGACTTTGTCTTGCCCTTCTTTGTGACCTGTCCTGGTGTAATGGGCAGGGTTTTGTGTAGAGTCAGCACTAGTAAATGTTTGGTATATTGAACTGTTGGGTGAAAGGAAATGTTCATGAACCACTAACTCAGTGTCTGTTCTAAAATTACTAACCAAAATCTTATTCTTTTTCCTGCGAAGCAGAAATGCTGCCCGAGGCTTGAACCCAACCTGAGGAACCACATCTGAGAAAACCCTGCCTGCGTCTGCAGGTTATGCTTGGATTCCTCAGGTTATTCAGGAATGGAGAATCTTCAGCAGTGTTAACTATATTACCATTTTCCCAAGAGATGGCATCTTTGCACAGCAAAGGGCTGCAGGCAAGGAGTCTCAGCTCTGCAGAAGAGGAGAGACTGAAAAGAGACCAAGCTTTAGTGTCTGACTTTAAACAGCAAAAACTGGAGAAGGAGGCTCAGAAGAACTGGGACCTTTTTTACAAAAGAAATAGTACGAATTTCTTCAAAGATAGACACTGGACCACCAGAGAGTTTGAGGAGCTCAAATCATGTAGGGAGGTAATGTTACACCTTATTTGAGCTGCTTCATTTAAAATGTGTATAAGAGGAGTGCTGTATTGCATTTTTATGGACGTGTGAGGTAGAGAATTTATGAAGCCTGTCAGAATGCTTTGTACCTTAGAGTGAAATATACTGTTTGGTTTCAAGTAGCTTTTGCAGTTCCCGGGTTGTATAATACACAGGCGAAAGAACTTTAATGGGCATTTCTGTTTCTTTAAAGCTAATCTGAAAATTGTAAATATTAAATTCACACTGAGTGACTTCAGTGACAGATTCAGATTCATTAATAATAATGATGATGAACACTTTACCATGGCCCTTCTCTAGAACTTTTCATGTGTTTTGTAATTTAAGCCTTATAATAGCACTGTGAAGTAGGCATTAGTATTAGCCCCACTTAATGATAAAATTGAGGCACAAAGTTGCTTAAGTGATTTGTCCAATGATAGAACACAGGGGTGAAGGGAGGAGTCTGGATTGAATGCAAGCAGTTTAGTCCCTAAGCCTGTTCTCTTAGCTATTATCCTGTGTTTTCTCCACACCAAACTGCCCAATGTTGGAGGACAAATTGAGATATCAGTATTAGCTTTCGGTTATCAGTTTAATTGTTTATTGTCTGCTCCAGGGGGCAGAGATCTTGTTTTTCATGTTCTGGACCTTTTAGTTTGGATTGTTTCTTTATTATGCAAATATAGTGTCCTGTAACTTTGAGTTCTCTTTCCTCAGTTTGAAGATCAGAAATTGACTATGCTTGAAGCTGGCTGTGGGGTTGGGAACTGTTTATTCCCACTTTTAGAAGAAGATCTGAATATCTTTGCTTATGCCTGTGATTTTTCTCCAAGAGCAGTTGAATATGTCAAGGTTGGTGTATCATCCCTGTGTTTTGTTATGTTTGTTTTCTTGGACTTGTTTGACCTATCCTCTATACCCGTTTGACCAATACCAGACCTCTCCTTGAAGCTAACCAGCTGTGATTACCATAAATGTAGTTTTCCTGTTTGCATACATATACAATACATATGGAAACACAGCTTTATTCAGAAAAATAGAAATACCATAATGACACCCATATACTTATACCCAGATTTAATGATTTCCAGTATTTTGCCACATTTGTTTTATAGACTTTTTTTCTTTGATGAACCGTTTTAAAGTAAATGACAGACACTTCACTGCTAAATATATCTACATACATCTTTAATAAGGATTTTTCTCTAAATCACCCCTATATCTAACAAAAATAGCTGTAATCCCCTAATGCTGTTAATACCCAGCTCAGATTCAGATTTTCCCAAATAGCCCCAGGTATCTTTTATAGCTGTACCTAATCAAGACCTGCTTACCCTTCATTGTGTACCATAGAGCTTCTCCGTCTAAATCATTCCTGCCCTTCCCATTGACCTTTTTCCCTGCTGACATTGCGTTTTTGGAGAGCAAGCCATTGTTTGTAATGAGGTTCCACACTCCAAATTGTTCTGATTCTTTGTATCATTATTTAATTTGTTCCTCTATCCCCAATTTTTCCTGTACAGTAGAAATTATACTTAAATAGGGTAAATTATTTTTGGCAAAAATACTTTAGTAGGTGGTGTTGTTTCTTTCATATTACATCCTGTCAGGAGGCAATAATGTCTGGTAATCTTACTGTAAGTGATGCTAGCGTTAATCATTGGGTTAAGATAGTAACTCCCTAATTCCTCTGTTGTACAAATATTTCCCTTTTGCCATTAATGAATATGTGGGGGATACTTTGGCAACATGCATATATCTAGTTTTCCATCAGCCCTTCACAGTTTTAACATCCATTAGACTTTTTAATAGTGGGATCACATTGTACTGTAACTTACTTTTGTCACTACATTATATCTTGCCGTTTGTTATCTTTGTACATATAGGTCTACCACATTTTATTTACCTGTTGCGGTATTCCATAGAATGGATATACCATACTTGAACAATTACCCTGTTGATATTTATTTAAATTGTTTCTAATTTTTTGCTTTTATAAGTAGGGTTAATGTAATCACCATTGTGCACAAGTTCTCCAAAACACGTGCACACATTTCTCTGTGTTGAATAATGGAAGAAGTAGAATTCCTCAGAGAAAGAGTATACATATTTAAATTTTAATAGATAATGCCAAATTTCCTTCCAGGACATTACACCAATTTATAATTTCACCAATAATATAAAGATAGCTTTTTCTCTATGCCCTCAACATTTGATGTCATTCTTTTTTTTTCTTTTTTTAAGATTTTTATTGGGGAATTGGGGGGATGGGAACAGTGCTGGGGAATTGGGGGAAGGGGAACAGACAAGTTGCTGTTGTTTTGTTCTTC